ATAAATAAATGTTCACCTTTTATTGGTATTTAGCCTTCATACAAACAAGAAATGTGAAATCACTGTCAAATAAATCTCAGACTCTCATTAATATTAATATTAATATTTTTTACTTCAAACTATAGGCTAACATACCAGTCAAAAGTTTTTGAACAGTAAGATTTTTAATGTTTTTTTTAAAGAAGTATCTTCTGCTTACCAAGCCTGCATTTATTTGATCCAAAATACAGCAAAAACAGTAACATTTTTAATTGTGATTTATTCGTGTGATTTCCAAGCTGATTTTTTAGCATCATTACTCCAGTCACATGATCCTTCAGAAATCATTCTAATATGCTGATTTGCTGCTCAAAGACATTATGATGTTGAAAACAAATGAGTAGATTTTTTTCAGGTTTCTTTGATGAATAGAAAGTTCAGAAGAACAGCATTTATCTGAAGTAGAAATCTTTTGTAACATTATAATCTTTTTGATCAATTTAAAGCACCCTTGCTAAATAAAAGTATTATAAATAAAATAAAATCGCAGCGCTAAATAAAATTTCTATAATTTTCTGAAGACGGTCCTTTCCCTTCAGATATACATTCATATAAAACACCCGCGCCGCGTTTAGATTTTGAAACATGCAGTGCTCATGTTTATTCAATGAAATCAAACGCCACAAATAAATCAATGTATGGGAAACACTGGTAATGTATATCGAAATATCGGAAATGTGCTTACAAATCATATCACCGTTATTGAAAAAAATATATATCACGACACATATTGATATTGAATTATTGTCCAGCCCTACTTACACCAAAATCTAATAATTTCAGTAGCAATGTTTGCTACTTCGAAACCATCATTAATGAATAAGGCATCATCTTAAAAAATAGGGTGTAATACATCTTATAACAGCAACCGCTGCGTTTTAGTTGAAACTCTGGTTGCCATAATTAAATGCATACGTTTTGTGAGATTGTCTTTATTGCCATTCTCACAAATGCTTCTTAACATTGTATTGTCACAGGGACATGTGATGTGCAGATGTCAGGATGTCAGTAAAGTGTCAAGTACAACATGGAAGTGATAAGTTTTACAAACACAACTGCCAAGGCTAAAAATGTTGCTGTTTTCCAAATATTATTACAGCATGTGTTAAAATGAACAAGATATAATCTCTGGTTCTTCATTCATAATATTCACATTCAGGTTACGGTTGAGAACTGAGTAGGCAGTTCACCTGTAACTCTAACACTACTGTCTGCATGTAATTTGCACTGTCTCTGTCTCAGACAGTCACTGTTCCTCGCTGTTTAGGGAGGTCAGAGGTCATGTAGATCTGAATAAACACTAGTCAAATCTCTGGGTACTGAAGTCACAGCTGTGTCTGACGCGACGCTCAACGATTCATTTACTGTCAGACACTGAGACGTGACCGTGGGAAGTTTTCCAGCACAGTGCTAAATATGCACACAGAGTTAGATTTACATTAAAATTACCTGCAGCATTATCTTAACTATTTATAGTTATTACTATAATGCATCAATATATAAAATGTGAGATTAGACAGTTGGGTTTAGGTGTTCAGTTGAAATGTGCTAGTGTTTACACTAAGGCAACCCATTTTAATTTTTGAAAACCGCCAGATCACTCAATATCTGTTATTCAGCTCTTTATGTTGAGCCTTTGATTATCAGAAGCTCATATATGTAGTAATTATAGTGTCTTACAGCCATTTACATCCTCATATTCAGAGTGATTTCAGCTAGACAACACTCAGTATTTCTTGTTTTCTGGCTTCTGACTCTTTGTCCTCTGAGGGAAAAATGGCTCATGTTTGAATCTTTGCCCCAGGTTTTCCTGCATTTGAGACATGTTTAAACCTTGTTTTACCCTGAAGGGATCGCTTTCATGGACACACTTCATAAACCCTTTGTCCATCCTCCAGTTGCCTTTCTGTCTTGGCAATAACTGCTGGACTTCTTCCTGCTTTCAGCTGCAAAACAGCATGTCAACGGCTCAGTGTAACGTTTCTTTAACAACCCCATTTTTGATTCAGCACAAAGTGAGGTGTTGATATTGTGAGGTCCATTGAAGAGCACGTTTGAGATAAATTCAGCACGCTGATGTCCAGACAGCGTCCCGCAGCAGCTCTGAGCTCCACAGGCTGTGAAGATCATTGAGTTTAGTGTAATCAGCGCCTGCTGGCTGCTCGTACATTCGTGAACGCTGAACGGCGGGGATCTCGCAGGATTGAGAAAATACCTGTGTTTATGTAGTTAGACCTGGCCACATGAACCGTGTTGTTGGTTCACTTCAAACCGACATCTGATCATCTGGTGTTTTTTGGAGATTTATCAGTTTTTGCTTCATCCTTCACACATTTTCAGGTACAGCCGTGTCACATTAGACAACAAACTCAAACGCCTCCATGTGTATCGCTGCAGGGATTTTCACTCTGACATCCCTGTAGAATCTCCTCCTGTGTGTCTGTCAGTCGTCTGATTTATCATCACCTCCTGCCTGTGTCTCAACTGTTCTCTTTAAATAGTGTAAAGATGTTTAAATGGTACTAGCATCTATAAATATCGGAATGAATGGGAGGTAAACAGATGGGACATTATAGACTCATTATACATTGCTACTGCATGAATGGCTGCTAATGAGAGTAAAAAGTTGTGATAGAAATGCAGGAGCAGAAAACCCTCCGCCCCCGTCTGCTGGTCATGCTGTGGGTGGTCAAAGCCAAATCTCCCTGTGAGTCGGGCTTTAATGTCCATTAATGCAGCTTTCTGGAATGCAGCTCACTGCTTTTCTTGCTCTCTAACTTTGATAGAAAACTTCCAAGACTGTTTGTAGTTTAGACTTATAATGGTATTGAGACTCAGATGTGATTCTGATGTGGTAAATGTGTAGATTATTAATGATTCACTTAAAATTCACCAATCCAACTACATGTAAGATGAATTTGACAGCTTTTTATTATTTCCTTGTCGTCTAAATTGGTTCACGCTGTCAATTTGTTGACTAATGCTGTCACAGATGGGTTTAATGTTTACAGCTGTGACAGATATATCATTATTTCTGTGTAGTAATTCTGGTGTGATTTATTATATGTCGACATTTGATGTGATTTAGTTGCTGTGGTTCAAAAAGCTGTAAAAAGTTTTGTCCATCTTCACACCAGGAAGCTCTTTAGTGTGATAAAAATTCACAGCGATGAGTTCAGAGATGGCAGTCAGAGCTAATTTGAATTCAGGAAAGTCATGTGACAGCCAGTTTAATGAAGTCCAGACTCCTGAGCTACTTAAATAGCATAAATTGTTCCAGACATTTCTTTCACCTTACCTCTCTCTCATGTTCTCATTGCTGGTGTTATTCTGCAGGTTTCTCGCGGTGACGCAGTTCTCACCGACTCATGCTAGAAAGGCCTTCCCGTGTTTCGACGAGCCCATCTATAAAGCCACATTCAGAGTGAGTCTGAAACACGAGAGCTCGTATCAGTCGCTGTCTAACATGCCAGTGGAGGCCTCGACGTCTGACGAGGACAGATGGGTGACCAACCATTTCTCCAGGACGCCCCGCATGTCCACGTACTACCTGGCCTGGGCCGTGTGCAACTTCACCTACAGAGAAGCAGTTACAGACAGTGGAGTTGTGGTGAGTCGCATTTAAAGCCCCTAAACCTCAAAGTTAGAAACAGTAAACTGAGATTTTATTATTCCACAACTGCAGTGACCCTTACTTGATTTAAAAGGTTCGTTTGTCACTTCTTGGGTCTGCTGGGGAAATTTTAGACACCTCTTTGTTGGCTCGTTTATATCTTTTTGGTAGTGTATGAGTACATATATTTAATTAAATACTGAAAAGTATTGATAAAACAGTTTAGTCTAATTAGAAATTGATTACCCAATATTTGCGCAAGCTATGCTTTTTTGTTCATTAGCATATTGAATAGCTTAGCAACATGATAACGTCTCATTTGTAGAACGCTATTGTTTATATACTGTAGTTGAGGGTCCATCTCGTTTAGGATGCTCCCTTAAAAGGCATCTGCCAAGACAGCAGGCTTCGGAACAGAGCTTTTATCTTGCTCACAGTGGATATGTTTATATGAAGCTTACTGTAAGTTTATATAGTCAATATAATGGTTACACAGTGGATGTGCTGTAAATGGAAAGGGTTGTTTCCACTAACATTAGTCCAGTGTCTACAACGTCATATAATTGCTTTTAAAAGGATAGTAGTCATGTGCAACAAACATTCACTTATGCTCGTGTCCAGGATTGTGTTCATGACAAACTCTTCTAGGTTTTATATATCACATGAACTTGTTTTATGTGAAGTTTAGCCATTAAGACAATATTTGCTGTATCACTTTCATCACATGCACTTAAATGTTATTTTTTTGGCACTGAATCATCACAGTCTAAGCGGCATCATCTGTCTGCCAACAGAGAGACATGGTTTATGCGCCGTGTTACTGATATCATCCTCAGTCAAAGCCCTGTTGTCATATTAGACACTTCCTGACGGCTTCCTCAGTGGTTCCTGCTGCGTGCCCTTGGCCGGCCTCCTCCTCATATTAGTGTAATTACTCTGATCTCCTTCAGCATGACCGCGCTCTCCTTTATATCACTGCTGGCTGTAGTGTGTGCTTCTATCTGGGGCACTTATACCCACACTGCGGCTTGTAGCGGTTAGCCACGCGCTAGCATCCCCCATCAATCACATTAAAGCGGCAGGTCAGCCCCCTCGCACCATTCATCATAAAGATTCGGCTGTGTGGAGCAAGAGGAAAGATCGTGGGAGAGGAACGTTGCAGAGGAGAGTGGAGTTATTACTCGGGGGTTTATGGGGAAATACTGATCTACCACACACACACACGTGTAAAAATCACATCAGACTCTGCAGCAGTTGGTTGGTCGTAATATATTACAGGTTTTAAGGCTTTAGATGAGGGGTCTCAAACCCAAATTACCTGAGCCAGGTGGTGTTCTCCATTGGGGGGCAGTTGAATAGAGTTACTTTGGGTTATTGCAACAATGAATTTTAACTATGTACATTTATTGCCACAGTTACACAGTTATTGATGCATTCGACTCATCTTTTCCTCACATCCAGCATAATGCTCCGCATGTTTAGTAGAGTAATGATGCCTGAGATTATGTTTCCTGAGAACCGCAGGCTTATTTGTTGTCGTCATCTAACCTACAGCTGTGTCTTTATATTTGTACTTTAGGATTTAATGAGCCATGATGAAAAAAAAAAATATTAGGCTACTGTTTAACAATCCTTTACAGTAAAATAAGTACATAAGTCCAAACAAAAATGCAAAAAATGAAAAATGATTAGTGAGATGGGTTTAAGGATAAACTAATAACAACAGAAGTGCCGTTTGGAACTTTTTTATGGCCTGTTATCTCTATATTAATGACAAAATTGCATACTATTCATAATACTATTCACTACACATGCACATAATTGTGCAGGATTCATTAGTGTGTTTTTCCTGAAGAAAAAAGGTTTGTTGTCATAATCTTTCATCCAAATGTAATAATTCTGTCTGCCTCTGAAATTGCTTTTCTTGTAATGTAAACGAGGTTGCATAGGTGGAGAAAAATAACAACATCCAGTAATATTATAGCCCAACATGTTTCCATCCATTTGTTCAATTAAAACCTGATGGATAGAACCAAGTTTCACTTGTTTTGTTTGTTTATTGTCTCTGTTTGCTTACATTCTTTTTTTCTTTTAAGTGCATTAATTTGTTTTTGTTTGTTTATTGGTTGTTTGGATGTTGGTTTTGTTTGTTAATGGTTGCATTTGGGTTATTGTTCTTTTTAGATCTTGGTTCTGTTTTAAATGTTGTGTTTGTTTTTGGCTCTGCTTGAGTGTTTGGTATTTGGTTCTGTTTGAATGTTGGCTTTGTTTATGTCTTGGTTCTATTTGTTTAATGGTTTTGTTTAGATTTTGGTTCTGTTAGTTTAAAAGTTTTTTGTTTGTTTGTTTTTGACTCTTTAGTGTTTGGCATGTTTGTTTTTGGTTCTGTTTGTTTGTTGGTTCTGTTTAAATATTGGCTCTATTTGTTTAATGGTATTGTTTGGATCATTGTTCGGTTAATTGAAAGATTTTATTTGTTTGTGCATTGTTGGCTTTGCTTGGGTCAGGGTGTTTGGCATGTTTGTCATTTAGTTCTGTTTGGATGCTCTTTTTAGTTGTATTTGTTTGTTTAATGGTTTTGTTTTGATGTTTGTTTTGTTACTTAATACCTTTTTTCTCTCTCTTTTCACTTGGGTATTGTTTATTGGTTCTGTTTGTTAAATTATTTTGTTTGGATCTTTGTTTGGTTTTTCTATGCTTGGGTGTTTGGTATGTTTGTTTATTGGTTCTGTTTGTTAATTAGTTCTGTTTGTTTGTTGGGTCTGTTTGGGTGTTGGACAGCTCATTCAGTTTGATGGGAATTTAAGTGGTTCAGCTCATTGGTTTAGAGGTGCTTCGTTTGGCTACAGTCTTAAACATTCCCTCACAAAATCTACTCCATTAACATGAACATAACTGCTAATTGTTGATTTTTATTGGTTGTTCTGCTGTAAAATCAGATTGTAACTTGAATGCTCCATTAAGACTAATATAACTTGCAATTTTGAATTAATTAAATTTAACTGTTATGTTCCGTTTCTCACATTATGTCCAGTTATGACCAAACCATTTCAGATACAACCCTATATGCTCTGCAACCTCTGGCAGTGATGTCTAAGCCACAGAAAAATGTATTTCTCGAACCAGACAGTAAATAATCGTGCCGTCTGTGTCCCGCTCTCCAAAATGATTTGAAGCCTGAGCTTGGATCGTTTGTTTAATCATGGATCGTTTCTCTTTACCAGCCTACAGGGTTTAGTCAACCTGCTGCTGTGTGTGAATAATGCTGAGTCTTCATCATCACACACATCTGTTTTGGTGAACGTGACCTTTGTTTCGCCTGTATTGACCATTGGACTCTCTCTAGTGCGTCACGTATTACAATTTGACCCTCAGGCCCTTCAGACTCATGATTTCTGACAAATAAAAATACTAACACTCAACAGAGTTTCCCTTTCTGACCAGGTGTAATTTGAATTATTTAAACTGCTAAAATAAGAGAAAGAGGTTAATTAATTAATATAAAGCAGCATATTTCATTCATAACTGCAGCCATTATTAAATTCACTGGTTTAGTGTCAGTCAGTTTTTATTTACTGTATCTTATCATTAAAATGTTCTTGCAATATCTAATCAAAATGCAACACCACTATACTAAATATGCTTATTACATATTCATGAAATTACTCAGAATGATCAAAAAGCATGTTTAGTGCATTTACTGGACAAAATCATGATTTTAGCTGTAGAATACAAATGCCTTGAAACGTCTATGTCAGTTTCAAAATTAAAATATCCATTATACCAGCATGAATGTCCATCCTGATCCAGGCTGAATTATTCTGATTTGATTCTGGTTGAGCTGTTAAACCAGACTAAATGGTCTACACAACACAAGCTAGTGACTAGCTAGATGTTCTAACAAGGAATCAAATTGTGTAAAACTAGAAAATCATTTAGGGAAATGAATTGTAAAGCACCTGAAGTATCTGACACAGTCAAACATATATAGAATAATAACTCAACAGGTTGTTAATATCAGGTCAAGTGCTGAATGTGTTGACTGAAGCTTAATTTTTTCATCAGAAAGAGCTTGTTAGTGGATCAATGTTGGAGAGACTCTCTATTAAAGTTCAATTAACCCCATTTAAGTCTCTGTCAAGCTGCCTTCAACAAAACCAAACAAACAAACAAATGAAGCAGTCAGATTGAACAATCTCCACACCGGCTGATTAATGAAGCATCTCTTGATTGTCAACTTGAACGCTTTGTCTAATTACAGGTTGTTTTAAAATCACGTTGATTTGATTTAACTTTGAATCATTTCCACAGCCCTACGTGCCGCCCATTCATCTTTATATCAGACACAGAGCTGATCGATACACCAGCAACATGTGAGGTAAACAACACATAATTCAATGTGCATTGCTGCCAGGCTCTGAAACAAAGCCTTTCCTGCTGCTTGTTTTGCACTGTAACTCTGTTAGTGTAGGAGGACATTCATTCTGACTAGATGGATGCCCGTTCAGAAAGCCGTGCCGTGCATCAACCTTCAGCTAAAAGAGTCCAAGATCATTTTTACTGTGGGAATATACAGTGGGTACGGAAAGTATTCAGATCCCCTTAAATTTTTCACTCTTTGTTATATTGCAGCCATTTGCTAAAATCATTTAAGTTAATTTTTTTTCCTCATTAATGTACACACAGCACCCCATATTGACAGAAAAACACAGAATCGTTGACATTTTTGCAGATTTATTAAAAAAGAAAAACTGAAATATCACATGGTCCTAAGTATTCAGACCCTTTGCTCAGTATTTAGTAGAAGCACCCTTTTGATCTAATACAGCCATGAGTCTTTTTGGGAAAGATGCAACAAGTTTTTCACACCTGGATTTGGGGATCCTCTGCCATTCCTCCTTGCAGATCCTCTCCAGTTCTGTCAGGTTGGATGGTAAACGTTGGTGGACAGCCATTTTTAGGTCTCTCCAGAGATGCTCAATTGGGTTTAAGTCAGGGCTCTGGCTGGGCCATTCAAGACAGCCTTCGGCTAAAAGAGTCCAAAATCATTTTTACTGTGGGAATATATTTCCCACAGAGCCACACCTCACACACTTTCCCTCTCACACTTTCTCTCTCACATGCATATAATAGTTCAGAATAATGCAAATGCTTTGTCTTTGCTTTTTCATGGAAATCTAATTTGTTTCCAAAGACAAATGTGTAAAATGCTATTTTATCAAACAGCTGGCTTACAACTGATGGAAATAAGCAAATTTTAAACATAAATGTATGAAGGAGTTTTCAGCAGCTACAGCCCAATAAGATTATGGTTTATGAAAGTGCAGGCAGTTCATTTAAAGGTGCCATAACTCCAGTAGAACAGGCTGCCTACTTTTCAAGTGGCCGTGGTTC